TTCTTAATTAATAAAAGCAGGGGTAGGTTTCTTTAAACTGCACAAACATGCAAGGATTTTTTTAAAATGGAAACTTCTCTCATGTTATTCAACTAGAGCACTTCAGTTTACAAAACAGCAAGTCCATCTTTATGGAAGCCAGCACGAGGAACTGTGTGCAAATTATGAAGACACTTGCTTGGATCCTGTTTCAAAATTCTAGACCAGGGCTACCTTACACAGAATTGGCCATTTTACTGCCACGAGATTTCTGTGTAACATTTATGGCTAAAAATTTGGCATTTGAAGATGTGGTATTCAGATGGGGTTTTGTCCACCATTGTCAAGATTGTAATCTTACAAATCATACCGGTCATTGATAATTTAGTTTATCCTGAGGCTGTTGACTGGCAGAGGCGCAGTCTACAAAGCCTAGCATGTTACCACTCAATGGTTTACATTTTGAGACACCTCTTAAGTTGTTTGTAGCACTGCAGTTCAGAGTGTTAATATTTAGAGGGACTTCTAGATTTTATACCTAATGCAGTAGAACCTTGAAGTATATTTAAGCTTTTTTGTTTAGCTTGAACACCTGGCAAGAAAAATGTGAGTTCCTATCTGAAATGGAATGGTACGTTACCACTTTAAGTTTTAAAAAGTAATAGACCTTCTGACATATCTCAAACTTAGTTGTATTTTTATTCCAAACATTGTGAATGGGAAGCCATTGTCATACACTTTGGCTATTTTTGCTCCGTAGACATGTATCTTTAAGTTATAAGGTGAATCAAACATTATGTAATACAGTATTAGGATATAATAAGCTTTGGTTTTATAGTATAGTTAAAATACAGAATTCTTTTTGCACCGTCTTAGTTAAAATTTTTGATTTTTACTAGTTGTGTTGCTTTGCAAAAAACTTAAATGTTTGGCTGCATTGCTAATATTTGTAAGTTGCTTCAAGGTTGTGCTGATGAGTAGATAGGTTGTAGTGATTAGTGATTGAAAGGGAGGGTATTTATTATACAAACTGTGAACTGCAATGACATCCTTAGTTTTGGATGATGTGTTTTCTTGTTTTTCTTTGCAGCATTTTAATGAAGATTGCTTTGAAGTGTTTACGCGGTAGCACATTTACAGTAAAATTTAGTTTAGCACAGTGGACGAAAATAGTTAATAACTTAAAATCAGTCTTTAATTTATACATCTGAAGTCTAGCATTCCCGTATGCACACAGTAAATAATGGGTAGCCTGGGCTCTGTGTTGCTTTCCAATATTTTTTTCCATGGTTGTCAGCTTCTTATTGCTGTGTTGTTGTGCTAAACTTTGAACCTTATTTCTTTTATTAAAAATCAGTACACTTTCTATAATTTAGTAAGATACTGGCCATAATATTCCATTGTTATAACTTTAATTTTCACTCTGGGTTTACAGTGGCTGGTCTGTATAAATAATTTACACAAAGATGACTGAATGCTAATACCAGTTGCACTTAAATGAACATGCCCATTCTCAGTAGCTGATGCAGTAATATATTCAGTTTATCTATGCATTGCTGGGATCTTGATATAAGATGGAAACAGTGTTTCTTATCTAAAGTTTTGATTATCAGCAAGTTGAATGGACACTTTAGTTATTTAAATAAAGATTTTTGACCAAAATCCAGAAAATGGTATGAGAGAAAAATAAATTCCAGCTAGTTTAGTAGATTTTTAAATACCAATCTGATTTTAGCCTCTTAGAGAGTGCTAACTAGCTGGTAACGTTTACTTTTAATTCCTTGTTAAAATGAGGCAATAATTTGCAAGATTTTGTATATAAGTGTAAATTCTTCATATCTTTTTAGATCTAATTCAATATTTTCTGACTACTTCTGCCATGTATAATACCATTTTTGTGCATGCTTGATGTGACATTCATAAATTGTACCACTATGACTTTATCCATGTAAAATAGCTATTTATTGAATTTTCTTTTAAAAGCTGGATTTACTGTTTTTTTCTTTCCGTTTAAACATCTTAATAGAATTTGTTACTGTTTATTAAAAGAATTGCGTTTGAAAGCATGAAAATAACTGATTTTTAATCATATGAAGAAACAATGCCTTTATTATCAAGTGTTAAGCACAATTCTTATAACAAACTGTGATAAATTCTTTTTTTTTTTCCTTTGTCACATTATTTTCGTATGAACAAACCAAAAATTCATGGTGAGCAGTTGCAGTGTTGGCTGATATATCTTTAATGTACAGGGAATTTGCAGAGGACAGTGGATTCATTTAGAAGTGTAACTGGTGCTGTGATTATAGCAATACTTTACTTTTGTTAGTTATACTTCATCTTTTTTATGCTAGCTTTTTAAATGTTTGGTTTTCCTCTTGTCATGGTCAACTGCTGAATTTACTTGAAGGATGTAGAATACTGTTTAAAAAAATACTAAATCTGTACAATTAGGTCAAAGAATTGTGCAATTGTTTCCTTTTTAATTTTTAAAATCGAGGGTCATAAATATTTGAGAATGCCAGATCTGATAGAGCATAGTGATACTATTTAATTTAACCAAAGTCTCTAGTATTTCAACTTTGAATGTAAACTAACAAATAAACCTGACCACCAAGGAGATTGCCCAGAGTTTCAAAGCACATTGTCTACAAATGGGAATTGAAATAATTTATAAAAATATTGACATTACTATGTTTTTTAAAAAGTTCCTAATTTTTTCACTAAAAGGAGGAAACTATTAGTTTTATTGTTAAATATGGTAGATATTATTATTCCTCTTAGATGACCAGTGATTCCAATTGTCCCAGTTTGAAATAAGTACCCTGTGAGTATGAGATAAATTAGTGACAATCAGAACAAGTTTTAGTATCAGATGTTCAAGAGGAAGTTGCTATTGTTGCATTGATTTTAATATTTGTACATAAACACTGATTTTTTTGAGCATTATTTTGTATTTGTTGTACTTTAATACCTGGTGTACAGTTCCAGAAATAAAAATCTGGAAATCTTTTTTTTCTTGGTTTGTGTGAGTATTTGCCAAAAATAAGATTTTTTTATTTAATGAATGTTTAGCTGTACCAAATAGGTAGATATTATATCATTGTTAAATTGGTTTTAGATATAGTAAGACATCTGATACATAAGTAATAGAGGTGGCAGGGAAGTTTCCTTTAAATCCTCTATGGTGGTTTTCCATCTATAACCAAATTTTAACTATCTTGAAGATTATACCTCTAGATCAATTCAGGAAACACTTGAAACACTGTTCTAGGCAACTGGATCTTTTAGGAAAACATGGTATCTGCAATTTGATCAACTGTTACTTGACAGACTATATTTATGGTCAAATAGTCTTCCTTATCTATCCTATTCATAGTTTTAGTGAGCCTGGTCACATTTTTCCTGAATCTGTGTTTTAAGCTAATGATCTTGCCTTAGCCTGATTTCACAAGCTTATCCCCTAAACTGTATCCAGTTCTAGTCAATATGCAGTGATCAGACTGCACATATCAAAATTTTGTACAAGGCCAAGAAGGGGACAGAATGAAAGCAAAAACTGATGACTCGGCTTAGATGCTGGTCTAAAACCATATCCCTTCATTCTCAGGTACCAGAGGGCATCGGAGTAGGGGGCTTGTGTGGTGGACACATATACAGACGGAACCTCCAGAGGGGGACAAGTATGAGTATTTCAGTACAGCCAGTCTAATGCCCCATGAGAGCTACACAGTATTTCAGGCTTTGAGGGAAGGAGAAGCCTTGTAGAAGCAGAATAATCTCCAGTGACTTCTAGGCTACTAGAAATAATTTTCGCCATAATTTCCATAAAGTGTGTTTTTTGAGCCTGCTAGTGATAAATGCTATTGAGAAAAATAAGGAAGTGGAATGGAGAGTACTGGGGTAGGAGCTCAGGATTCAACTTTAATAAGGTGATTAGGCAAGGTGACAAGGGGAGAGTAAGCTATGTGGCCATCCAGGTGAAGATCTCTGCAGGCAGAAGGAACAGGTGAGGTGGGAATGATCCTGGCAGGTTCAGGAAGTGGCTGGCGTAGATATGCCTGGGATGGAATGAGCAAAGAGAGCCAGCCAAGTAGATGCTGAGGTACAGAGCAGCTAGGTCATGTATGCAAAGGACTTCAGCATTTATCCAGGACAGGAGCAGCATGTCCAGATCTGACTAACCTTAAAAGAATCACTCTTGGTGATGTATTCTGTAAGGGGGCAGGTATGGAGAGAGGAAAGGCAAATGGTAGGCTGTTGGAATCGCAACAAACTTATGGGGTGGAAAGCTGGTGGCACAGCAGTGAAGGTGGCTAGAATCTGGTTATACAGGTTTCGTGAAGATTTCAGGGGCCCAATAAATAACACCTTCCTTCCTATCCAAATTTAGAACTGAGGTCGGAACAGGAGTCAGGCCTATAGAGATCAAAGTAACTATTGCTAATAAAGTTCTGGGGAAGATGGTTTCAGAGCTCCAGCCATCTTGCTAATACTCCACCTCTGAACTAGACTCATTCTGTCATTGGCAGGGCGGGCTACTGCACAAGGCAGAGAATTGCCCAGGACACATTAGCCGCAGGGTCCACAGAGGGTGTGGGCCATCAGTGCCCAGTTCTCCAAACATACTCAGAAAGTCACTTCCTCCAGTGGGTGGAGAGAGGCGAGGAGTGTTACAAATGGAAGCCCTCCATATGAAAACCTGAGACATGGAGAATAGGTATTCCTCATACCAGCATGTATTTTAATTAGATTCCCACATGAAAACAACCTCGTGCATTTTCCGCCTAACCTGTATTGGTATGGAAATGTCCAAAGAGAATAGAAAATAAGGATCTCACATTTTCCTCTTATCCAGCTTGAACAACCTTTAAATTATACCTACATACCAGTTTACCCATAGCAACACAATAGACATTCTTTACTTGTACACATCAACAGTACTACAAGAATTGCTGGGGCTTGGTTAAAATTTTATAAATCAGCACAGCACTACACAAAATAAAAGAAAAATTGAAATCAGTTCAAGTAGTGAGTTTTAATTTAATAAGCTATTGTGTATTTAGGTGAAGCTCAATTAAAATTCTAATTGCATTACAAATTTGAAATTGTAATGAAGCAAATAGCTTTTATCATGAAACTGGAACATAAACATAATATCAACAAAAACATAAAAAAATTCCTACTCCAATTAGGTCTCAAAATATTTGCTCTACAGGTGGAACTCAGAGAAGTGAGTAGCAAAAACTTAAGATTAACTCAGCAGCTGAGTAGAAAACCTACTTTCACATTCAGAGTTAGCTGACAATCGTGTAGTAATTTGAAAAAAGCTCTTCTCCTTGTTTGATGTCCCTAAGTGCGACAAGGACGACACATCGAAGTGGGCTGAAAACAAAAGAAAAATATATAAAAGGTAAGTGTCTGTCAAGCTCATAAAAATATATGACAGATACAAGCTCATGTTTTTAATATAAACAATGTGAGGTTTGGGGGGTTTTTTGAAGTTTTCGGCCGGGGCTGGGTATGGGGCTGGCACCCTACTCCTTTGAGCCACAGGCGCTGCCCAACAATATGGGTTTTATATTGTAACTTTCTCTCTACTCAGGTTCCTTATGTTTTAGTTTATGATTTCTCTAAGGAAACAGTTATTATCCTTGATGTAGGCACTCTAGAGTATGTCTCTATCATTAAAAAGGTTCATACAACTGACTACCTCTTTGGAAAAGTCTATGTTTAGGACTCCAATACTGGTATCACAAAAAGGACTTTTAAATGACATTATAGTTTAACATTCTTTTATTGTGTAACTTGTATTCTGAAAAATGGAAATATTAAAGTTACTTGGAATTAAAATAAATACTTCTTTCTGGACACAACATGTCTGTTATATGTACACTTTCGAAGTTCTAATGGCATCATACCCCAGAGTATATGGGTAATAAAACCTAATTTTTTGTTTTTATTTATTTTTTCAGACAGACTTTGTCACCCTGGGTAGAGTCCTATGGCATCATAGCTCACAGCAACTTCAAACTCTGGGGCTCAAATGATTCTCTTGCTTCAGCCTCCTGAGTAGCTGGGCCTACGCACCTGCCACAACACCCAGCTAGTTTTTCTATGTTTAGTATAGACAACGTGTCACTCTTGCTCAGGCTGGTCTCAAACTCCTGAGTTCAGGCTAACCACCTGCCTTGGCCTCCCAGAGTGCTAGGATCACAGGTGTGAACCATTGCACCCAGCCTAGAAAACCCAATTGTTAAACATAAAAATGTGTAAAGACATAAAAGTTATCAAATTGGAAGCATTGTGTATAGTCCAAGATGAATATCATTCATCTTAAAAGGACAATTAAAAGCCTATATACAATGAGGTTTGCTAGCAACTCAGTGAAATGATACACAGATTATATATTCCTACAGCATTGTTAACAAAGAACTCAGCTTTTCAGAATTACTTGTATTTAGAGACTGTTATTTGAGTATTCTCAGACTCTCCACTTAATAAGCAAAAAATAAATGTTACATGAACATGTGTATCTTCTGGATATAGGCCTTATTTTCACCATAAGGATTCAGAACCTAATGGTGAAACAGGCAAAAGAAATCATACTGTAATTTGGCCTCTTTCTGCAATTGGATACTTTCTTGTAAGGTAGAGAGCATGATACTTAGAAATGATTAAAGTAAAAATATATTTGACGATTCTGTGGGTAGGAAGAACAACAATCATATGAAAAAACTTTTAAGGTTGGCTTGGCACCCGTAGCACAGTGGTTACAGTGCTGGCCACATGCACCAAGGCTGGCGGGTTTGAACCCAGCCCGGGCCTGCTAAACAATAATGACAACTACAACAAAAAAAATAGCCGGGCATTGTGGCGGGAGCCTATAGTCCCAGCTACTTGGGAGGCTGAGGCAAGAGAATTGCTTAAGCCCAAGAAATTGAGGTTGCTGTGAGCTATGACGCACAGCACTCTACCCAGGGAGACTAGTGATACTCTGTCTCACAAAACAAAACATGAAGGTTAATACTTACAAAGTACAGAATAAAAATGGGTAATAACAAGCAGAATAAGCTAAGTTAAAAGAAAATTTTAAATTTCAAATAAGCCTACATGAACACATTAAGGTGTGATGAACACAAAAATCTAAGTTACCTCTAATTTTTCAGTAAAAATGTCTTACTCCAAATTCTATACATCTTTTAATTAGAAAATATTTTGTTAAGTACAGCGTAAGATAGGAAATGCTCTTTTTAGAAGACTAACCTCAATTTGTCGTAGCTATAGGCAATGTTTGGAAGATACTGCTTCAGTTCGATAGGGAAAACGGCAGGCACATCAAATTCCTGGTAACAGACATTAGCTGCTCTGTCTAGGGACAAGCACAATATTTTTTGAAAAAGAACCATGATACAAGGTTATAGAAAACAGTATTGAATTATAACACTTGACGTATGTTTTTTAAAATTATTGGAACATGTTCAAAATAATTACTATTAGGTTCCAGGCACTGTTAGATTTTTTTTTAAATAAATCACTAGGAATGAAACTGTTAGATTTTATATATTTATATATACTTATATATAGTAAATAATACATAAAACAAAAGAATAAATAAAACATGTTTTATTACTTTATATACATACAATAACCACATGTTTATGTTATATACCATGTATAAATTATATTGTTTACTTTTTCTATACCAAGAAATAGAGGCTCAAAAAGGTTAAAGGTTAAATAAAAGAGGCTAACAACAAAAATTTATGCTAAATGTAACCAGTTGATCAAACTTTTACCTACGGGAAAGTCAAAGTCCTAAAGAAGGTAAGTGACTCACAAACTTAGCAATAGAAAGAAGATACCAGTTTGGCAATTAATCTGTAGGGCTACATTGAAGTGACAAAATAATCTCTAACTATGCAAAAATGCTAAAAAAAAAAATGATCAAAAGGGCAGTTGTTAACAATTGCCTATATTCACTGCAAAATCAGAACAAAAATAATAAAGAATTCCAAATGTGTATCATTGTTTCCCTAAATTCTCTCTCTTCCCTCCAAATACCTTCCCTCCAAAAGTTATAGTTACTTAAGGATTCTGAATAGTTGAGATGTTCCACTCAACTGCCTCTGGCGCTCAGTCATGTGGCAATGGAGTAGAATTAACCACATTCTATTTTATCTCACAGCTCTATGATGTTTACTTACCATTTGAACAATTGTTGACATACTGTCCTAAAGCCAGGGGATTATGAATTTCTGATGTTAGCCATGTACTATCACACATTTTTAAAGGGCCAAGTCGATCCCTCCCATTGCAAGATCTAAAACAGATGAAAGCATTTGCTATGAGGTTATTTTTCTGAATCTTATAATAGAACTAAAAAATACAAATTATTATGGCTCGGCCCCTGTGGCTCAAGCGGCTAAGGTGCCAGCCATATACACCTAAGGTGGCGGGTTTGAATCCAGCCCGGGCCTGTCAAACAACAATGATGGTTGCAACCAAAAAAAAAAAAAATAGCTGGGCATTGTGGCAGGTGCCTGTGGTCCCAGCTACTTGGGACACTGAGGCAGGAGATTCGCTTGAGCCCAGGAGTTGGAGGTTGCTGTGAGCTGTGATGCCATCGCACTCTACCCAGGGGGATAGCTTGAGGTTCTGTCTCAAAAAAAAAAAATACAAATTATCCTAGAATTTTACAAGTGCGATTTCTCTTTTAAAAAAAGGACTTTTGTCTAATCAACAAGACAACTGAGTTGTTACATAGAAGCTATCTAAATATATTTTTATTTAACGTACAAATGCTGCTGGTCATAAACGTTGTTAAGTGTGGCTTTGTCTCCAATATCATACTTAAATTTGAATGTGGGCATCACTTACCTGTACACAACTTTTGATATTCCTTTGTCATTCCCATCAATGAGTACCCCATCCAGGCATCTAAAAATAAACGGATTTCCAATGGACTGGAAAAAGACTGGCTCATACTTTTGATATACTGTACCTATTGCATAACAAGACAAGACATATTATAGCAACATGGAAAAATCATTAACAGTGTGGTAAGAACCTTTCTCTGAAATATAATCACATTCTCTTAGGTTACTTTTACCCTTTATTTTTTTATTTTTTTGAGACAGAGCCCCAAACTATCCCCCTGGGTAGAGTGCTGTAGCATCACAGCTCACAGCAACCTCCAACTCCTGGGCTCAAGCGAGTCTCTGGCCTCCGCCTCCCAAGTAGCTGGGACCACAAGCGTCCGCCACAACACCCAGCTATTTTTTGGTTGCAGCCGTCATTGTTGTTTGGCGGTCCAGGCTGGATTTGAACCTGCCACCTTAAGTGTATGTGGCTGGCACCTTAGCCACTTGAGCCACAGGCGCCAAGCCTACTTTTCCCCTTTAAAGAGTGAATGTCCAATACCAGATAGGACACAGAACAGACTTTTCCACGTAGAGTAACATATAACTCTCTTGGTTAATGATAACACGAACATCACATTTTAAGTTCAGTTTTACCAAGTCATATACATTTTTTTTTAAAGTAGAGTGTTGTTCGACATCCACTAAAAAGTCTTTTGAAAATGTATTTTGCTAATAATTTAATAATGTAGACATACATGGGAATAGATGAATCTGACATATTCAAGCTGTTATTCCATTTTCTGACAAAGTTGGAACAAAGAAAATTAATATTTACCAGGTGTTTCCTATGGGCCAGGCATGTTAATCTATTTAAATTTTAAGTAAGATTACTTAAGTAGATACTCTAAATAAATTTTAATAACTTATTTTAGTATTAATTTGTCAGGTTTTACTGGCTTGTTCTGGTTAGTCTTTACGGAGTTACGCTAGCTGTACAGCAGGAAACTCAGATTTTCTTGTTAGGGATATAAAATTAGAAAACAGCAGAATAACTTTTTAAAAACATGGTCTATCTGATTCAAATATTCACATACACACTCTATATGAAAAATTATATAATTTTTTTTTTTTTTTTGAGACAGAGCCTCAAGCTATCACCCTGGGTAGAGTTCCATGACGTCACAGCTCACAGCAACCTCCAACTCCTTGTCTTAAGTGATTCTCTTGCTTCAGCCTCCTGAGTAGCTGGGACTACAGGCTCCTGCCACAACGCCTGGCTATTTTTTGGTTGTAGTTGTCATTGTTTGGCAGGCCTGGGCTGGATTCGAACCCGCCAGCTCTGGTGTATATGGCTGGCGCCTGTAGGTTGTATACTGAATAACATTCTATTGAGCATTCTAGACAATGATCTTTCGCAAAGAAGTTGCCTTACTTTCCAACTATAGAAACGGCAAAGAAGATCTTTATTCAGCGATTTGTAGATTTAAACTCTTATATGTTTTGAGCCACACCATTTTTATCTTTAGTCATCAACTAAACCAAAGCAACTTATTCTCTAGTGCTAGGTAATTTGTACAAGTGGACCATCTTATTTTCTAAATTTAAACACTGACTAGAAAGATTTCATTAAAAGAAAAATGCATTTATCCCTCCCTCCCCTAAAAAAAAAATTCTCCAGGATACTTTCTAACACATAATTTACAAACAGTTTATTCTGAAATCAAAACTTTAAAAATCTACGGAAACCTGAGTTTCTAATTCAACCCTTCAAGGATTATAGGGCTAGGCATTTTGTTGAGTTTATATTAATCAGTATGTAAGAAACTTGGTAAAGTACTAATCATGTTACCAGGATACATAGATACAACCGCGCCTTTTGGTACCAATCCTTTAGTAACGAAGACACCTTTTCCAGCGGAAACCAAAGAGCTAGTTGCTCGAGCAACACTGAAACCCAATGTCTTATAAAGAATTTCTTCTGGTTTAAAGATATTTTGCAGTTGATGTCTGTTTTCAAGCTGTTTCACCCTTTGATGTTCGAGTGCCAGTAGGTCTTGATATTTTGATTTAACAGGTTCTGGAAGCAAAGTCAAGATTTCTGATTGCTTATCAAAATCATTTAAGAATAGAGCCTGGAAAACTTTCAGTAATGTTCCTAGGACATCTTCATCTGAGATAACTTTGTCTTTAGAATCCTCTGGAACATATCGGAGGGTCCTGAAAATTGGAAAAGTTTCTATTTACCACCCTTCAAATGATAAAAGCTAGGCTATCTTCATGCTTTCCAGTTTACTGGCCTCAAGGAACTACAAGACTATTTTGATGTGTTCAAAGGGCATAAAACTCAGAAAAGAATTGCTTGAGGGGAGCTCTATTTACCTAACTCCCAACACTACCCACACAAGTACCCAGTATTTATGAAAGGCCCACTCTGTACCAAATGGGGTTGGATCCTTCCATTATCCAGTTTTTGCAGACAAGGTAACAGGCTTGGAGAAGTTAGAAAACTTGCCGAAGGTCCTAAAGCCAGTGAGTGGGAGAGCCAGAAGCAGAACTGGAGCTCAGCTCTCTCCCCTACTACAGCCAAGAATCATCACCTGCGAGTCATTACATAAGGTGAATCCTCATAGTCAATGTTTTTTTTTTTTTACAGGCATGTAATTTCAAAGACAAACTTAACGTTATATACTTTGTCACATTCTCTCCGGGAGTATCGCGTTCTTTAATGACTGCATCACTTACTTCCATAACTTTAGTACATAATTTGCAATTGTACTAATTGTATTATTTTACTTTTAACTACGGGGCCTCATAATCCTTTAGTAATGATGCACCTGAATTCATGTGTCCTTAATGTGAAACTTGGAAAGCACTGTGGCTTTTCCCAGTTTTTTGTTAACTGCCCTTCCAGGAGGCCTAGTCTGCCTGTTTGGAGAGCATTGTTGACCACAAGTGCACCCTTTATAACGCCAGCAGTGTCACCGTCGAGGGCGACCTCCTCAGGGGCGTGTCCAAAACCCGACGTGCTTGTAGTCGCTTTTTGCACGTTTTTACGCGTTAGCTGCTCCAAGGTATTCTCACAGCCAAGCTGGGTTGCTTTCACCACATAAATTATTTGTATGGAGGTGTGAAAATAAACCTCGCTTTGGCTTTTCTGAGGAAGTTCAATCTTCTAACAATGCATCGGCGGAAGTCCGCGCACTCTCATGCGGTAAGAGTGGCCTTCTTTTAGAGTTTCTATTTTATTCAGAAACAAGTACACCAGCCGGTTCACGAGAAACGCCCGCAACGACCCGCGGCCAGCCCGGACCTCGCGGGCCTGGCAGCGCGGCGGACGCCGGGAGAGGCCGCAGGCCCCGCCCATCTAAGGCCCGCGCCCGCTTCAGGCCGGGAGCCCGCCCCGGCCCGGCCCCGCCCACCGCAGGCCCCACCCGCCGCTAGCCCGCTCGCCGGCTTCAAACCCAGACGCAGACTCAGACCCCACCCCCTAGACCCGCCCACCACAGACCCCGCCCACACGGGGCCGGCCTCCTCTGGCGCCCGGGCGGCTGCCTCTCTGCCTGTCGGCGGGTGGTTGCTTCGGTGGCGGCGTCCGGGAGCCTTTAGGAGGCGCTTCTGGTGCGGCCGCCCAGGCTTCTCACCTCGGGTTGTGGTTTAGGTTCAGCGCGATCCAGGGGACGAAGCGGTACTTGTAACGGTGCCATCGCTGCCACAGACCCCGCAGCAGGCGGCGCGGCATGGCTACCCGGCGGGGTAGTGACCGGGTCGGCGCGGGAGAGGCGGGTCGGCCGCGGGCCCGCCCCGGCTCGGGAGGAGCGGAGCCGCGCTGTCCCGCCCCTGTGGTTTCCGCCCTCAGAGTGCCTGGCACCGCCTGGCCGCTCTCGCCCCGGCTCCGGTCCTTCCCCTTTTCTGACCCCAGCCCGCTGCAGAGGCGCGTAGAGCTGGAAGAAGGCCCCTTTCTCCTTGTTTTTTCTCCTGTCGCCTGTGTTATTTGCGGGCGCGCTCAAACACACTACTCCTGGTTCTACGCAGGGGGTGGGTCTCATGGCTTCGTGGGCATCGTGCCCTCGAGAACGCATCCTAGGACTTGACCACCGAGTTTCTTTCTCTTGCCCGCCTGCCCCCTGGCCCGCTCCGCTCTGGGTCACATTCTCCGTCGCTGCTCAGCTCTCTCTCTTCCCCGACGCTCCTCTCCCTCTCCCTCTCAATACCCTGACTCTTGGGGAACAAGAGTCTCAGTCCTACTTTAGACATCAGGCCCTCCGCCACAGTGAACCCATGTGCCAAAAGTTACCAAGTTGTTACCAATACTTTTGCCAATGTATTCACATAATATAAAAAAAAAAGTGCAAGCGCGGTAGCTCACGTCTGTAATCCCAGCCATTTTGGAAGACCGAGGCCAGAGGATGGCTTGAGCCCAGGAGTTGGAAGGTCACAGTGAGCTATGATCAGGCGACTGACTGCACTCCAGTCTGGGCGACAGAGCAAGATGACCTGTTTTCACTCCACTTTTTCTCTTCATTCTCCTAAACACTCAAAGACAAAAGTACATAGGTAAAACGTGTTTTTAAAAACAGCTTTATTGAAATGTACAGTTGGAATATAATAAACTGAACATTTTAAAATTTATTTATTTATTTTTGAGACAGATGAGACAGAGTCTCACTACATCACTCTTGGTAGAGTGCTGTGGCATCACAGCTTACCACAACCTCAAACTCTTGGGCTTAAGTGATTCTCTTGCCTCAGCCTCCCAGTAGCTGGGACTACAGGTGTCTGCCACAATGCCTGGCTATTTTTGGTTGTGGTTGTCATTGTCATTTAGCTGAGCCAGGCTGGGCTTGAACCTGCCAGACCTGGTGTATGTGGCTGGTGCCCTAGCCGCTCAGCTACAGGCACTGAGCCAGTTTGGTAAGTTTTTGACATACAGATATATCTGTGAAACTGTCACATTTGGGATAGTGAACAAATCTGTCATCCCCAGAAGTTTCCTTAAGACCTGCAATCCCTCTCTCCAGCTCCCTCAATCCCCAAGCAACCATTGATCTGCTTTCTGTTGCTATAGCTTTGTAGTGATGTATTATCCCTTTAAGGTAAGTATTTTTTTATTCACTTTGGTAAAGTTTTGTTTAGAAGTTTTGCATCTTGTTTGTGAGAGTTGTTCTGTAGTTTACTTAGAATGTTTTTACCTGGTTTTGGTATTTGGGTTAATGCTGGCCTGATAGGCAAAATTTGAAAGGACTTTCGCAATTGCCCTTACACACACACACACACACACACACATATATCACACATTTAGGACAGGTTTGTACAAAGCTCTGTTTTGATGGGGGAAAACTACAAGAATATCTTAACCATCTTCAAATCACTGTTTATTAAGAGGTAAATATGTTAGTATCATTTCCTTAAGTTGGAAAATTGGCTTCCCATTATTTGTCTGAGAGTGAGGATGAATCCATACCTGAAGCTGAAATTGAACATCTCAGAACTAGAGCAAATCCAGGCAAATGCCAGTGACCTCAGGACTAATTTGCTCTATTCTGGAAGAAATAAAGGGAAAGAGTATTTGCAATGTCTTTCTTTATTTCACTCTGCTAACTTACAGAATGTTCACAAACTCTAGAGGTCTTTCCCTCAGACTGTGCTTAGTAACTTGGAATAATCCAGATTTATCTGACTTGCTAAATGGAGTCCATTCGGTTCCAGAATGGGTTAATAAATGGCATACAAAGTGCTTTTGGTCTCCAAAATTACAAGGAACCAAGAGAACTAGTTGAATTCTTACCTATGGTAATATACTTGTCTGAAAGGAAAAAAGCAGTTTTTGTATATTTTTTCTAGTGCTTTTGTATTTATGGTATTAATATTAAATTTTGGTTAGCTAAGTAATTCATGAAAACAAAATATATCTTGCACATCTGCCCATGTTAGTGTGTATGAATGTACTTCATTCTTCCGTTTTTATGGTTAGATGTTCAAGCTTAATATTTATTGTAATTTTGTGGTAGATATACTTCATGGAGTTTTAAGAAGTTCTCTCCTATTTTTGACTTTCCAAGAATTTTTGCTTGTCTTAGATTTTATGATGAATATCAAATGCTTTTCTTTCTGCTGTTTGTTGAGATAACCAGATAGTTTCTCTCTGTTCTTCTGTTAATACAGTTAATTATAATGCCACATTGTCAAATTATTTTGAAGATATGGGGATATTCAAAATCTCTGTGTAATCTTATGTCTTGTTTGGTAAGCTGTATTTTTCATGGAATTTGCTCTTTTGTCTAAATTATCAGATTTCTTGGTATAATGTTGTTCATAAATATTGTCTATCTTTTTGTTGTTTTTGCAGTTTGGCCGGGGCCAGGTTTGAACCTGCCACCCTCGGTATATGGGGCTGGCACTCTACTCACTGAGCCACAGGCACTGCCCAATCTTACTATCTTTTTAATGTCTGTTAAAAGTGATCTGTAGTAATAATCCACTTTTATTCCTGATTGTGGTGATTTGTGTTCTTGTTTCTTCTTCATCAGTGTCATTGGGGTTTGCCAATCTTCAAAGAAACAGCTTTTGACTATTAATTGTCCTGTTTCTTTTCTTTTTTTTATGTCTGTTCTTTATGACTTTATATACTGTGGGTTTATTTTGCTAGTTTCTTAAAATAGAATATTAGGTCTCTGATTTTTGTCTTGTCTTTTCTAATAGAAACATCTAAAGGTATAAATTTCCCTCCAAGCATTATTTTAGCTGAATCCTAGGAATTCTGATATGTTGTGTTTTCATTATCTCTCAATAAAAAATATTTTTTAAATTTCCTTATAATTTTTTTTATCCATGGATTATTTAAAAGTGTGTTTTAAATATTTGGGATTTCCAGGTATCATAGTGTCATTGGCTTTTTATTTTAATTCTGTTGTGGTCAGGAAACATGTATAATTTCAATTGTTTTAAATGTATTGATTTTTTTTTTTGTTACAGTATATGCCCTTACTTGATGAACATAACCATATTCTATGGTTGTTTAGTGTTCTATACATATTAATTAGGTCATGGTGGTTGATGGTGTCCTTTAGATCATCTATGTCATTAATGATTTACATAAATTTTTCTTTTTTTTTAAAGAAAGAGTCTTACTTTATCGCCCTCCATAGAGTGCTATGACACCACAGCTCACAGCTACCTCCAACTCCTGGGCTTAGGCGATTCTCTTGGCTCAGCCTCCCAAATAGCTGGGACTGCAGGTCCCCGCCACAAAACCTGGCTATTTTTTGTTGCAGTTTGGACAAGGCTGGGTTTGAACCTGCCACCCTCGGTATGTGGGGCCGGCGCCGTACTCACCAACCCGATTTACATAAAATTTTAAATACATATGAATGAGGAACAACAGATTGGCAGACAGTTTTATAATATGTCCTATATAGCAAGCAAAAGGTTAGCTTGGTAGGCATGGAGATGGGCTTGCTGTCCAAACCTACCCTCTTCTTTTGACTCCTTTTTCCTACTTCCTATTGTTTCTAGTTTCCCCTAATATTCTACCCAATTGAAGATAAGGATATGTGGGCTGTATTTTTTCATTTAAAGCTCTTTTATGCTATTTCATGTAGGGAATATAATCTTTAACATCAGTGCCCTAAAAGTCCGCAAATAGAGCATGTGTCCCTGGATGGATTGCAACTTCTGTAGTTCAAAGTGAGATGTAACTCTGTCTTTCAATATTTATTGAGCTTCAACTATATCCCAGGCTCTCCTGCAGGGGACAGATGCTAAGTGAACACATAATGATGTCAGATAGTGATTAATGGCCTGCAGAAAGTGAGGCAGGGTACTGGGAGGAGAATGGGTTGAACATCAGATGGGGCCCCTCCAGATCCACTGTCTACACCCTGGGGGACTGACCAGTTTGCACAAGATCAGGGTCCCTTGTCTCCTTGCTTCGATCGATCAATGGGGACTGCTGGCAGGAAACCGTAGAGAAGGCAGAGAGGGAGGTGTGGGTCTCTGTGTATGGCTGTATCCTGACCAAAGGTTCTTTTCATATAACCTTTGCTCTTTCTGGGTTTCTTTTAGGCTAGGGGTGGCAATAGCATTCCATTGGCTCTGGCTCCAGGGCTTTGTACCATCTCCTTGTGGTTTTCCTTCACCCTATCCATGCCTTTATGCAATTCTCAAATTGTCCTAATCTGTGTGTGTTGTCTGTTTCCTGCTGGGACCCTGATCGCTTTAAAAAGGTCACCTGCAGTGGGACTAGGGGTAGCTACTGGGGTTAGGGTGATGCCATGAATGACTGAGACCAAACTGACAAGAAGGCACCAAACTTGGAAAGAACCACAAGGAGAAGCTCTAAATAGCAAGTGCAAAGCCTGTAAGGTGGGAAGGAGCTTGACATGTTCAAGCAAGGAAAAGACGATCAGTGTGGCTGGAACATGAGAAAGTGGAGAAAGGGAAAGATGAACTCAGGGGGAAAGGGAGGCGCCAAATCTCAGGGAGCTGGAATTCTTAGTGTGATGGGAAGTCATTGGAGGGTTTGAGCAAAGGGCCAATAAGATCTGATTCATGTTCTTGAAAGAACACTGTGAGTATTATGTGGAGAAAAAGTGGGCAATCACCACACAGGGAGGCTAACTAGGAGGCTAATACAGAGCTGATGGGGGCTTAGACTAGAGTGGTAATGGGGAGATGGAGAGGGTGGGTGGATCAGGATTGTATTTTGGAGGAGGAACTGACAGGACTTGCTGATGGATTGGATATGGGAGGGTGAGGTTTTGAAATGCCTACGAAAAATGTAGGTAACTAGTTGAACATTTACATCTGGA